GTTCTCAGATACCCTCCATCTATGTTCCCCCCTTAATGTCAGAGACCAAGTTTCACACCCATACAGAACCACAGGCAAAATTATACTTTTGTATATTCTGATTTTTGTTTTTGGACAGCAGATCAGAAGACAAAATGTTCAGGACTGAATTGTAGCAAGCATTACCCAAGTTTAATCTCCTCTTAACTCTTTGACTGGCGCGGGCGTGTTTTAACACCCGGACGATACCAGCCGTTCCCTGGCGTTGGCGTGTTTTAACGCTTTGACAATCTCTTCCCTTCTTTGCTCTCTTGGCACTCATCAACCAAAGACATATATATGATAGTTTTTGTGCATGTTTGTAAAGAACCCTTGTAAACTTTGTGGGGGTCTATATTACTGTCAGAACCCTCTGAGAAGGAAAAGGTCAGAAAATATTTCACATTCATTCAGTTTCACCATGGCTTCTTGCAGCAAGTGTCTTCGTGTTCCTACAGACCAGCTGGAAAATGTTGTGAACGAGATTTGTTCTGATGATGATAGTGGCGATGAAATAATGATTCCTGAATTGGATGAAGTTGATAGTGACAATAATACAGTGATAGACAATGATCCACAAGACAGTAATCATGAACATTTACCTACCACGAGTGCGGTGCCTGACACGCCCATCTCATGAATGTACGGAGACATTGTACCCCCAATATTTCCATTTGCTAATAGTTTCGGGATCAAAATTGATATAACACATAAAATGCATCCCTTTTCATGGATTAAAATTTTTTCTGGATGACGACTTGGTAAATCACATCACAACTGAAACCAATCGCTATGCTCACCAGCACTTCAACACACATGAGTTAGCTCCTCACTCTCGAAAACACAATTACAATTATGTCACATCAGATGAAATCTGGACATACTTAGGAATTGTGTTCATGACAGGAATCGACAAACGCCCTGAAATTGAAGAATATTTGTCCACTAGGCCCATATTTCACACCCATGGTTTGGACAAAACATGTCTTTGCGGTTGAATAGTTTCATTCTATTCAAAAAGAACACAACAAACGAAAAATACAAGAAGAGAAATTACAGATTCAAAGATTTTATATTGGACTGTGTAGAAAAATGACTGAACCAAACAAACAGTGTGGAGAGGGAGAAAAGTCAAGGAATGAAGTGGATGACGAATCTATTGGGTCAGACTAGAGTGCAGTCACGCCTCCGCCCTCGACCTTGAAAAGACCACCAGTGAAAGAGCCAGCAAATCGTCTAGAGGGTGGCTTGAAAATTCACAAAATGGTCCATGTTCCTAACAGTAACAATAAGAAGAATGGTGCCCTGAGAAAGTGTCGCGTGAGTGCTAATCACAAGGTTAGAAAAGAAACAAGTATCATGTGTGCAGGCTGTGGTGTGGCTCTCTGCAAACTTTCATGTTTCAATGTTTATCACACGAAGAAAAACAAAGAAAGAGGCGTGGAAAAGCATTTATTGCATAAAATATTGTATTTTAATTAGTTCCTAAAAATTTCGTTTTTAAAAACCAATTTTTGTTGAAGTTGTTTAGGAAAAAGTAACAACATGCATTTTAGCGACATAAGGTTTAAAGGGCATGCCAGGACAGGGGTGGGATTTAAATACCCTTCACGCCAGTCAAAGAGTTAATTTCCTCCTGAATCAGGTTTTGATATGTTACCTGTCATCCACAAATATCTGAACTGTGTCACATTTTCAGAACATCTGTTTTCTATCATTATGTCAACAAAGATTATTTCTTCTTGTAGGATATTCTATGCAGCTATCACTATCTAGACTATGCAGTACTGAACAGTAAAATAGCTGACGAATTGGAGAAGATCTGAAAGGAAGGAGCCATGACCTAACTGAGGTACTGTTCTGGCATTTGCCTGGACAGACTCAGGAAAGCCAGATATCTTCCAGGAAAGTTCGTGTCCCAACTGGGATTCAAACTCACCACCTCCAAAATACAAATGTAAGGTGCTACTGCTATGCCAGGTGGCTCAGGAAGAATTAAAACTGAGTTTTCATTTACATTTTGACAACAGGCATATAAGTCTCTACATGAAACAAATACCACACTGATAAGAAAACCTCATGAAGATCACTTGAAGAGCAACATGTAATCAGGTGAGTATGTTATAAATCCTATACGTGATAAGCAGGGGATGAACTGCAATGAGATGGCTCAGGACCGGCAGGATGTGTGATATTAGAGGTAAACATCTTGGCTCTACATGAAGGTGAGGAGAGAAGAGATTGCAGAATTTCTGTTCCTTAATCCATACATAATGCAATCAAAGATAAAAAAGGTAAGAAGTCTAACAGCAAATTTTAGGACTGAAGTCTTATGAATGTATATACAGACTCACTTTCAGGATTTTTGCTTGATCTTGGTCAGCCTCTTCCTGATCACGTCGACCTCGGCGCAAGCGCATCTTGCGAGCTATTGGATCCTTGCTCAGATCTAAAAACAGAATGTAAAAGCAGTGTGATCCTGTGTCCTAACAGTATCTGAATGGGCTATACAAGAGGTACTTGTGAACCATTGGTCGTCAGCCAGATAGAAAATCCATTTGTAACCCTCCATCTTGGTTGATGGCAAAAGGGGATTTCTATAAATGGAGTGACTAAAGGTAAAAAAAAGAGGGTCACTGTCACAGGAAACTCACCCCTTATTCTCCCTTTCATCCAACATATCGCATTTCACAAAAAAAAACTTTCTATTCAAGAAACCATATTCTGGGCAGCAAGCATTCTAATGTATTCATTCCATATCAGATACTATTTGCGTCATATTACTGCTCTTATAACCACATGTCACTGCCAGAAGGGTAGCATTCTTGTTTCATATTAAGGAGGTAGCAGGTTCATATCCTAGCCCAGAAATTAGCTATCCTGACTGAAACATTTAGTATAGTACCTGAAATAAGGCCATAATTGCTTCATTCCACATTTCTTCCAATTCATTATTCAATGTCATCCTACACAGTACAGTATGAATTTTTTTAATTCACTTAGTGGGGGGTGGAGTCCAACTGGGTCCACTCAGCACGGCGGCCACTGATTGGCCTATTGTAGCCTGCCCCGGGTGATTATGATGGAGAATTCGGTGGAATAAAGATTGGCAGGGGAAACCGAAGTACTCAGAAGTATCCACCCCAGAGCCACTCTGTCCACCACAAATCCCATTTGCCCAGACCCAAGATCGAACCTGGGCCACCGCAGAACAATAAAGGTTAATTTCCTTTAAAATGGAAGTAGATCAGAGCAATACACAAATGTGTTTATGTTAACCTGCACTGACCCAGGAAGACATACATCCCCCTCAATATGACAAGGTAAAGTTCTCCCTATGCTTAACTAAGCACTACACCATGAAGACATATGGAAAAGGTAAAGCTATCACTGTAACAGGCCATGGAGGCCCATAGGGTTATGAGGCATCAAGGCTCCCATATTCCCTAGACAATTTGCTCACAGATGGCAGTGAGGTGTACAGATTCATATATTCTTGACCTGGGCACTAGCTGCAGGTGAGTGGTCAGCTTCATGCCACTGACACATTATCCCTGAGGGGAAGAGTCCATTACCAATTGGACAGGAAGCTGGGTGGGCCCCAGAAACGGTCTGGACAAGATGGAGAGGAGAAAAGTTTTGACCTTACTGGAACTTGAACTCCTATCCCTCAGACATCCAGCCCACAGGAGTCACTATACCAACTGTCTCCTCAATATGATGACTCTAATAATATCTCTAAAAGTAGTGTAACTGCTTGCTTGCTTGCTTACTTAATGAAAATTGAATGCCAATTTTTAATTGAAAATTAATGAAACTACACTCCCTACAATAAAACAGAAACAAAACCTACACACAGACAACTATGGTAATGTACACTTTGAACTGCAGTAGTCATTATATGAATAACTTGATATAATATTAAAAAATATGCATTCTACCCACCCAACACATTTATGTTTCTAACAATAAACAATAATAATTTCCCTCAACAGCATGGACCAGCAGGTTTTAATGGAGACGGAGTATGTTACCTCTGAGATGGGAACTGAATTTTGGATCTTAAAGGGTAATAGTGGCATATACTAACTGTTTGAAGGAGCTGGTACAGGAACATTAGCACCAGCCAGTCGTAGCTGATGCTGAAGAGAAAAGTCAATATTATAGAACTCAATTCCTGACCCTCGTTGTACTTCTGTTGGCTTTGGTGGCATCACAAGTTCAGGATTATCTCGAAGATCGAGCACGTCAAGATCAGTAAGAAGATGGATTGCATCTGGTAGAGTTATCAAGCGATTTGCTGTCAAGATTAACTTCTTCAATGACCCACACCTATAAAAATATGGGAAATACAAGGCATAAATGATGCATCATTGGGTACACTTCAGGGAAGAATTTAAGCCTTATCTTTTTGCAATGTTAGTTTTATCAAAGTCAGTTACCTCTTCCCAGGCCGTGCCATAGCTCAAGCGGTTAGTCACTGGCTTCCCACCGTGGCAGCCCAGGTTCAATCCCAGGTCTGGTCAAGTGGGATTTGTGGTGGACAAAGTGGCGCTGGGGCAGGTTTTCTCCAAGTACTTTGGTTTCCCCTGCCAATCTTCATTCCACCAAATTCTCCATCATCATAATCACCCAGGGCAGGCTACAATAGGCCAATCAGTGGCCACTGTGCCGAGTGGACCCAGTTGGACTCCACACCCCACTAAGTGAATTTAATTTAATTACCTTTTCACAAGTAACCACAACCAGTAGAGCTACAAAATTTTGCACTCAGACAGCTGAAACTTCACTGGATCTGATGGTTTCACTTTTACACTGATTTATTGTAAACAAATTTGTTATATTTTTTCAAGAGTATGGTCTTGCAAAGGTAGTTTTTCTTTTGCCAATTCCAACATTGTCAGCAGCAGTGATGTAAACATAGAACAAGTCTCTCATTATAAATATTTAGGGTCTACAGTTAATTCAGATAACACAATCAAACAAGAGATTAAAGAGAGGTTAACAACTGGAACTAAAGCATATGCTGCACATTTAACACTGTTTAAAAGCAAACCTAATCCTAAAACAGCCAAATTAAGATTATACCAGATGGTAATTCGACCAACAGTAACCTACGCCTGCGAAACCTGGACACTTAAAGAAGCCATTAAACATAGACTTCTAGTCTTTCAAAGGAAAATCCTAAGGAAGATCTCTGGGCCATCAAGAAACCATGATGGCTCCTGGATAATTAAAACACATGATGAACTAGATAATCTAATAAAAGGAAGGAACACAGTTAACTTCATCAAAGCCCAAAGAATAAGTTGGCTTGGACACCTCTCATCGATGGAGGCTGGGCGAACAGTTAAAAGAATACATGTCTGGCAGCCACACGCTATAAGAAAGAGAGGCCGACCTAAGATCAGATGGAAAGATGACATAAGGGAAGATCTAAAGGATTTAGGAAATTATAACCGGACAACTCGCACACAGGACAGAAGTAGCTGGAAGGAAATTATTGAGCAAGTCAAAGTGTTCAAGAAATGAAGCTGTCGAGCCTTATGATGATGATGATGATGATGATTATTATTATGATGATTATGATGATTATGATCATGATCATGATCATGATGATGATGATGATGATGATGATGATGAAGAAGAAGAAGAATAATTAGATGAATAATTGTGTCAGCATAAAGACCCTGCAGCATCAAATTACAGAATGATTGATTAATTGGAAAAGGATTCAGAAGGAAGTAGTCACAAACTAATCACGGTACTACTATCATGGCATCTGACTAGAGGGACTGACAAAACCACAAGGAACCTCAGGATAGTCAGTGTTCCAGCCAAGATCTGAACCCCACATCTCCCAAATACATGTCTAGATTGCTACCATTAAGCCAATCTGTTCAGCACAACACAGGGGTTACAACCTCTCCCATACATAACAAAGATAACATCAAAATATTCATACTACAAATGATGGGTCTATAACAGCAATGTAGTTATTCACTTTTAGAAACACTAAAATGCTGAGTAAGCTAGGCTCTAAAGGCCGCACCATAACTCAAGCGGTTAGTCACTGGCTCCCCACAGGGGCGGCCCAGATTCGATCCTGGGTATGGTCAAGTGGGATTTGTGGTGAATAAAATGGTGCTGGGGCGGGTTTTCTCCGAGTACTTTGGTTTCCTCTGCCAATCTTCATTCTACCAAATTCTCCATCATCATAATCACCCGGGGCAGGCTACAACAGGCCAATCAGTGGCTGCCGTGCCGAGCGGACCCAGCTGGACTCCACCCCCCACTAAGCCAGCATCTATCAGCTACATACCTGCACAATCCCTCAGGAATCATTTCCAGCTGGTTGTTTGCTGCAGAGAACACTTCCAAGTTACTTAACTTGCCAATGCCTGATGGAATCCCCTCAAAATCCAGTTGATTGTCATTGACATAGAGCCGACACAAGGTCATGACCTTGCACAAGGATGCTGGCAATGCTGTCAGTTTATTGCGGCAAAGGTTTAGAGTCTTCAGGTGCTGCCAAAATTCTGATAACATGAGAAAATGTGACCCTTTTAAAAGCCTTCATATAAAACTTAAAAGCAACAGTTTGGCAATGGAATCATCCTACAACACAAGTTTCTACGTCAGGTATCTCAAACTCAAATTGTACATGGTCCAAACGGATAATTTCTAAATTCAGGGCAGATCCCACTTCATTTTAAGCAAAAAAAAAAAAAAGAGGTTAGTGGCATGTTTAATATTAAAAAACATGCCTCTTGTTTCAAATAAACACACAACTGAGAATACTGGCTTACTTTTTAGATGCTAAAAGAAATGCACAAGCCCTCATTTAAACTGTCTGTTATTAACCAAACTAGAATATGCTGACAAATTCTGTAAACTCTCTAATCACAAATTAACAGTTCTCAAGTTCTCATACATATAGAATAAGATGTGGCAAAGCTAACATATGCATTTCTTTTAAACCTTTCATTGTAAACACACCAAACACGTTATTCTTTATAATAAGCAACATACGTGCCAACGTTCAGTAAATCTCTGTATGAATAGCATTTACCTATTGCCTGGGACAGCTCTGTGATTTCATTATCACTTAAGTTCAGTCTACATAAATTTCGTAATGAATACAGAGCTTCAGGAACTTTGGGTAATGCATTTTGTGCCAAGTCCAGTTCTGTCAAGTTTGTAAGGCTATCCATGTTTCCTGGAATGTTGTTTAGAGTGCGCTGTGTATCACGCATATGGAGCGTTTCCAAATTCATCAAAGATGGTAACTGTCTGAAACAATTAAAATAATCTCTATACTTACCGCATCTGAGGTTCTTGAAGTGATGACTATGAGACATACTCTCTTCTGAGATGCAAAGTCATGTAGCCTGGTAGAAGTCCAATATAATTTCAAGCAAAAAGCAGGCAGGAAGCTCTGCTTGACCTTAAGTCTAAAACACTGGTGGACATTTATGGGAGTACATGGTGTCAAATTCCAAAAGAGAGTACCCTTCAATCTTCATACATGATTGTAATGATAAAGTAAATGGTATCCATTATTCTGAAGCAATACTATGGCTTATATGACAATAACAAAATTCCACACTTATGGCAAGAGAATCAGAACAAATGGCAGGCTGCAAGTTAAATGAATTTTGACACATTCCCTCATACTCGTACCATCATCCTCAGATAATTACATTTGCTCTTATGTGAAAATACAGAAATACAAAACTTACACGCACAGTTTAACCATAGAGACATTACCCTTCCACATGAACTCTGTTACTACAGTATGTGCCAAAACATTCAGTACTGAAACTCGCACATCTTGAATGCACGTGCGTTTGTTGATGGGACATAGCTCCAGCCATACATGTTCCCAGTAGTGAAAAGTAAGTTGTGTTGTGCAGTTGTTGTTGGAAACAGGTCTCTCGACGGAGGAAAAAGTATTCATAGTTGAGTATTATTTCCGCTCATACAGAAGTGGTCGCCAGACAACACGCTTCCTTGGTTTTGAGAGGCCAGATGTTATCGTCCAGAAACCACTACATTGTACATGTGACGATATGGTGTGCCGTCTCAGCACATTGTATATTAGGCCCCTATTTCATTGAGGATGAGGAAGGCAATGCTCTTACCGTCACCCAAGAATGCTACAGGGACACGGTGATTGGACCATTTCTTCAGGATTTGAGTAGGTTCTGTCATGCAAGGGACCTTCACATGAATAGACAGTGGTATCAACAGGACGTCTTTTCATTTCATTACTGTATATTTTGGCACATACAGTATTTACATCACACTTTTCACATTTTACCATAATTCACTGACCTGAGTTGAAAATGCCCCAGTGGATTGTGGTTGAGTATCAATGTCTGCAAGTTGGCCAACCTTCTGGTCTGAGGTGGCAAAGTTTCCAGACTGTTCGAACTCAGATCCAGGAAGAGTAAATCCGTCAAGTGCATGAAGAGTGCATTTGGAATTGAATCAATGCTATAAACATTACAATATGATTCAATAACTTGTACATGGTCTTATGGTAAAATGACATAATATTTATGTGTACAGTTACAAATCTTACATTTTTTACTGGACAATCTTTCTTGCAGTCCACAGCTCTATTACCAGGGGCTCCTCTTTCCACAAAATAAAAATAAAAAAAACATGCAAAGAAATTGCACACACTTCTCATATGGCTCACCTTGATCACACACATTACCCTGGAATCAAAGTTGTTTGGTAAACCAGTGTTCATTACTCAGTACTGAACAACAATCAAATCCATCTGACCAACATAGCTGGTTTCAACAAAACTGAGATTTCGCATTTAGGCCCCTCTTGCATATACTGTTACTTTCCTGAAGATGGCATCTATATATTTCTATTTTGGGAGATGGTCTCCATAAATTACTACAAATCAATCAACATCATTACAACTTTCAGTACACTTGCCATTCTGTTCCTTCCAGCCCATCTGAAGGACCCTGCTCTTTATGCCAGAATGTTCACATTCACCAGGCACCAGTCAATAATGGACACTCTTAAAAACCATACATGAACAAAATCTGTCCAATTGTTCAGGCGCTAGCATGGCACATGTATATACCAATTAATTTGGTGCTGACACACTGATTTGATTTCAAACAAATTTAATTAATTTTATTCACATTAAGGTAACCAAAGATTTAAGAAACATACTTCATCATCATCATCATCATCACTTGCACGACAGCCCTTTGTGAGCCCTGGCCTTCCTCAGGATTGCTCACCATTCTTCTCTATTCGATGCTACATTCCTCCAGTTCTTACACCCAAAATAGGAAGCATACTTAAACAAAGAAAATATAGTGGGTACTTACTGGTTGTGACTCAGATTCAAAACCAGCAGAGCTCTTGCTCGCTCTAGTCCTTCTGGAACTTCTTTAAGGTTGTTGTGGCTCAAATCAAGAGTGGTCAGTTCCTCTAAACGAAACAGCTCTGCTGGAATTCCTGAACTCTTTACTCGGTTATGGCGGATATTGAGCGTCCGTAGGCAACCAAGTTCGGTTAGTTCCCCGTACAATCGTTCAAGATCATTTCGTACCAGTGACAGATGTTCCTGGAATAATTGACAAAGGACGAAGACTGAATGATGAATGGCATAACCATAATTTTTCTTTTACATGACTAACCTAAGAGAAAGAAGAATGCTGATGCAAACTGAGAAGCAGCTATGGGAAGACAGAGATTGTTGGAGAGGCTTGGTTGATACCCACATAAAAATTGACACATCAGACATGGAGAAACAAGAGGAAAAAGAATGAAGACAACAATAAAAGACACAGCCTTAATTTTACAAGTAAGGTCTACATATGTAAAATAATTGTTCACCATTAAATCATTTGGTATGTGTATAGATTCCAGGAGATATGGCAACTTAATATTTACACAATGTAATGAACACTTTCTCACAGCAAAAATTCTCACTGCCTCCAGATCTCAAACATCACCACGCACATTTTTTCATTTCCAAAAGAAATTTTAACCCAAAGATCACTTACCCTTGCTGAGTTTCTTTTGTGGCTCCCTCCAGCAAATTCTGGAATATGCCTCAAATTAGACTACAACCACATCCTTTCTTATTCGTTATTTATTAAATCAGTCTATCATTTGATGCTATACATCCTGAACTACTGATATCATTGTTAAATATGTCACATGTAAGTGGATCTATAAGCATGTAATTGAACTCTGCAATAAACTTCAACTGGTTAGTTAAAATGGCTCATCAATTATCACCATATACTGTAAATGTAAGTGTAAATATCATGTCCCTTTTTTTTTGTTCCCTATACAAAAATTATCTCAAAGCACACCAACCAATTTCAGTAACTTCCCCAGTTCTTCCGGTATCTGTGTTAAGTTTGTCTTGTCCAGTTTCAGCCACTGAACACCTGTCATCAATCGCACTGCATCAGGGAACTTTCCATCCTGAACAGAAAATGAAGTACAGTATAGCACAGCATTCACATTATTGCTTTCTGGATAATGACACTGTACACTCTGCTAAATGAGTATAAACGTTTTAGAGGAACACACTTTCCTTATCTCCCTGTTAGCCATTCCTACTGGCCCGGACTGGGTTCTGCCGCCTATCCACCTCTTGTATATCCGAGTGTCCACCTTCCTTGCAAATTGCCAAAATAACCTTACCATGTCCTCACCCACTCACAATTCCCTGAAGATGGTGACAGTATGTTCCCCTGAAACGCTGATATTAACCTACAGGATTGAACGATGTCACAAAACACCATAACCTTGATCAATATCATGTCTGAATTTTGAGAAGTTATCTCATGAGCCATCTGCAACAACTCATAAATTATCTCCTTTGGGCTATTTTGTAATGACATTTCAAACTATGATTCACTTACACTAAAATCATTACTCGTAAAATCAACTCCTCGAACAAACGGCAACACCCCTGTATTCGCCATTTCAATATTTATGACTCCATTTCCAACCACTAATTTGAAACGAAAGATATAACTCCCACGTGAGTTGTCAACCTTGTCCGCCTTGTCAGCTACCTAGATAACAAAACCAGTTCAGTGAAAGTTTGAAAAAATAACGCTGCCAACGTGACATACACACATAAAAATTCCCACTAATTTCTAGTAAAACGACCCGAGCATATACTGTATAACTGTAACAGACATGAATGAAATTAAGGGCACTATACAATTACTGCAGCAAAGTATAGGCAAGTGGAGTACTTCAAAGAATGATATATGCATAAAGAAGATCTTTCCGTGAAAAAACGTAATAACACTTTCAATGGACCTGCAATTCAGTTATCAAAGAGATCCCGATTTACTTGTAACGGACATATAGATTTTTTGTTTCATAAGTTGGGCACAGTTGGTTTTCTAATGCGAAAATTATCATATATATTAAATATTAATAATCTTAAAGCTATATATTATACGTATTATAATTCATTGGTGAAATACATCATACAGTCATAAGGTCTTTGTCATGCAAAAGAAAATAATAATGATGATGGGCGTGGGTCTAACTCATGTACATGTAGAGGCTTATTTAAAATGCTTGACATACTACCTATCCCATATGTATATTTGCTCTCATTGACAACATTTGTTGTTAATAATTTACATAAGTTTCAGACCAATAACTCTGTATATATGATTAGTACAAAGAATGACCACCTTCATATACCTACAACACATTTACCATCCTATCAGAGAGGGGTGTATTATTCAGGTGTCAAGCTATTTCACACTCTGCCGTCAAATATCTCAGATTTAAAAAATTATAAAAATCAATTTAAGTTTGTTTTACGAAATTATTTGCAAAGTAACTCATTTTACTCTATTGACGAATTTGTTGAGCATGCAAGAGGCTCAAATATTAAGAGTTAATAAATGGTCTGTGTGCTTGTATTATACGTTGTTGAGACTGGCTTGTTGTACATGTGACAGTAGTTAGTTAGTTATTGGAGAGGGTGGGTTTCCCCATGCACTTAGACCTGTCTTGGTCCATTGTGCTTCCCTCTATGATATTCTACCAGTCTCTATATCCTACCGGTACTGGTGCTTACCATCAGTCCTGCCCAGCCAGCAAGATCAGCTCTACTAGCTGAGAGGTATCTATAATGCTTCCCCCATCTACCAGAGGTATTAGAGACTGCTGTTGTGCGGGAAACGTCCGTAATTTGGCTCAGTGACCTCCTTTG